AGAAACATTTGGCTGTTTCTGTAGCTAATGAAACATTTGGCTGTTTCTGTAGCTACAGAAACGTTTGGCTGTTTCTGTTGCTACAGAAACATTTGGCTGTTTCTGTAGCTACAGAAACATTTGGCTGTTTATTGTAGCTACAGAAATATTTTGGCTGTTTCTGTTGCTACAGAAACATTTGGCTGTTTCTGTAGCTAATGAAACATTTGGCTGTTTCTGTAGCTACAGAAACATTTGGCTGTTTCTGTTGCTACAGAAACATTTGGCTGTTTCTGTAGCTACAGAAACATTTGGCTGTTTCTGTTGCTACAGAAACATTAGGCTGTTTCTGTAGCTACAGAAACATTTGGCTGTTTCTGTAGCTAAAGAAACATTTGGCTGTTTCTGTTGCTACAGAAACATTTGGCTGTTTCTGTAGCTACAGAAACATTTGGCTGTTTCTGCAGCGACAGATACATTTGGCTGTTACTACCTACCCTGTTAGAGGCCACCTGACCTGTAAGAGACCACCTGACCTGTTAGAGACCACCTGACATGTTAGAGACCACCTGAGAGACTACCTGACCTGTTAGAGACTACCTGACCTGTAAGAGTCCATCTGACCTGTTAGAGACCACCTGACCTGTTAGAGACCACTGAGAGACCCCCTGACCTCTAAGAGACCACCTGACCTGTTAGAGACCACCTGAGAGACCACCTGACCTGTAACAGACCACCTGAAATATTTAGAGACCACCTGACATGTTAGAAACCACCTGAGAGACCCCCTGGCCTGTAAGAGACCCCCTGACCTGTTAGAGACCACCTGACCTGTAAGAGACCACCTGATATGTTAGAGACCACCTGAGAGACCACCTGACATGTTAGAGATCACCTGACCTGTTAGAGACCACCTGAGAGACCCCCTGGCCTGTAAGAGACCCCCTGACCTGTTAGAGACCACCTGACCTGTAAGAGACCACCTGATATGTTAGAGACCACCTGAGAGACCACCTGACATGTTAGAGA